CAAGGACCCGAGATTTGTACCTGGGATGGAAATAATGAGAAATAAGGAGAGTTTATTCAGCTACCTCAGGAGGGGACAAAATAGCACTGGAAAGAACAAGTTCCTACTTTGGTTTGGCTTTTTTTGTGGGGTGACAGCCAAGACCCCGAGATTGGTGATCAAGAGCAGGACTTTCTAAATGCATCTCATGTAACTGCAGTGGACACAGCATCCACCATTCCCTTGAGTGTGTGGGGGGGGGGTGTTGTGGTGAAGTTCTTATTGGACTCGTCCCAACGAACTTCATCAATGTCTTCTTCTTTATACTTACAAGAAATGGACAGGCTTAGCAACCAGTGCCTCATGCCAGTCCTGGTTATGGTTCTGGCCATTGTCTTTGCTGAATGTTTAGTAGAAATGGCTGGGATATAAACACCACTCAATTGACTCAAGTATGTAAATTGAACTCACCACGAAAGAGCGTGCAATAGAAACAGAAGTTCACTTAGCTGGGACTCTAAATATCAGAGTCATTTGTAAAAAAGAAATATGTAGTGGTGGTGAAATCAAATGCCTGTGTGCTGTCTATACAAATGTCTCCATCCTTATCACCTGAACTGGAGGACATAGGACTAATTCATAAGTCATGTGCTACAGAGTACCAATCGAGCACCAGCAAACACCTGTCGAAGGAAATGGGATTGGAGGCGTGGCTCAGTGGGTAGGGTGCTAGCCAATGAGCAAAAGCGTCCTGGTGTCAGCCCAAAAAACAACAACAGATGATCATTTACCACCTGAGTTTATATAGACCAACTGCCCATTTTAGTGGCATATCAAAAAGTAGTATTTTAATATGAAAGGGATCTGTTGCTAATTGTATTTAACACAATGTGTTCATGTTGTAAATTTGAATCATACATTTTCTTTAGTGAATTAATTTATTTATCTATGCAATAAATTCTCCCCCCACACACACCATTCTTTGAGATTTCAATCAATACGAATGATGTTAGACCTGGAATACTTTCTTTGGTTTATTTATATCTCAGAAATATTTATAAGGGAAAAGTCCGACATGGATTTTTATTATATTAGATACTCATGAGCTACTTTCTTTTCTTTTACTTGTACCATCTATGGCTTCTGTATTTAAATTGTAGATATTTCTAACCTGACATGAATGTCTGTGACATTCATTTCAAGAGTTTTAACCAGCTGGGTGCTATAATCCTAGCTACTCAGGAAACTGAGATCTGAGGAGTGGAGTTCAAAGCAGGCAGGGCAAGAAAGTCCATGAGACACATATCTCCAGTGAACCACCAGAAAACTAGAAGTGGCATTGTGGCTCAAAGTGGTAGAACGAAAGAGCTCAAGGACAATGCCCAGGCCCTGAGTTCACACTCCATGACCAACAACAACAACAAAGATTTAATCAAATACTGGCATAAAAGTAATGTCACATTGAAGTGGGAAGTTGTTCAGAGACCTTAGTGAAAAGACTATAGTGATTTGCACAAGGTATAGGAAATCCATAAAAGGTAGCATGGAATACAACATCTTAGCGTAGTGTCTATGGAAGCCAACACAACGCTCCTAACTGATGTCTCCTTTTTTGAAGGTACTGGGGGCTGAACTCAAGGCCTCACACTTGCTGGTCAGGAGTTCCACAACTTGAATCACTAAGCCCACCAAAGTTGCTTATTTACTTTTCTGATAAGAGTCTCCAGGTTTTTCCTATGCCAGCCTGGACTGCCATCCTCCTATTCAACACTAGTAACGTAGCTGTGATGATAGGCCTATGTCACTACTCCCAGCTTAGCTGCTGAGAGGGAGACCTTACTAATACCTCCTTTTTGTTCCCTGTCTCTTGAATAGTACCTCTCAGAGGTACTGGATGTGAAGTCGTAGTGTCCCTGGATTTGGATCACTATCATCCCAAAGACTTTGACTAATTCATATAACGAGGGAAAGAAACAAATGAATCAAAATGGAAGTTGAATAATGTGTTGGCTATTAAGATCAGAACACAGCAGCAGGATTGGACTAATAAAGATGTCATCTATACCACTTCCAAATAAAAATTTGCTGTTAGAAGAGAATGGAATCTCTCTATTTTTTCTTCACCAAAGGGAGGCTTAGATTAAAAATGCTTTAGGAAAAGGTTACCAAGTGGAATCAACATTGCTGCCAGGGGTGGACATAGACAGAATGTTACTTTGGTCCCCTTGAGGAATCTGGGTATTTTACATTTCACATTTTTGCATCATCCATGTGTCTGTTTTCTTAAAAGAAATATCCTGATTTCCGAAGATTGACCCAGAAGCCAGAAGTGAGTTTGTGACAAGTTGAATCTAGTCCTTCATACCAAATTTGTAGAATCATTTCTATTTCCTTTCTCCCTTTAAATTCTGTACTTACAGCTGGTAAAGTCTGCTGGTCTGTCTTCAAGTTTACTGATTATCTCTTCCCTTCCAACTAACAAGCAAAGATGATCCAACACGAATGAGTCAGCTGATGTCTGCCATTGTTTTAGATCTCCGGCACCCATAAATCTAGGTTCCACTGAGAGCCCATCTGTGAGGCTCTGTGTAAAAATACTTTCCTGAATAAGGAAATGAATGCGTGAGGAGCGCAGATCGCTTCTTTGTTGCATTGAACTTTAGAAAGGTTCTTTTTACAGAGAAGAAGCACCATGCCTGAAAGACTCCAACATTATTTATATGCAAATAAATACCTACCATTACTCCTGTAAGAGAGTAGGTGGGGAGAATTACCAATTATGGGACTATAAAACTCAGGTTTTGATGTGTAGGAAGCTAGGCTACAGACTGAGACGTTAGATGTAAAAAAGATCGAGTGATACTAAGAACCCATACTGCTACTAATGGAAGTGCAAGCCGAATTGCACTGCTTGCCACCCTTTGTTCCTGACAAAACAGCACCAGACAAAAGACTTATACCAAAAGCATATGAGGACTGCAAACAATCCCATAGAATAGATTTTTAAAAAAAGAAAGAAAAAAAAAACTGGTTTTAAAGAAAGGCAGCAAACAAGAACAAATATTTATTAAAACAAGGCATTGGAATGGACGAAAAGGTACTCATTCACTACACTCTTCTGTTGGCAAATTTGGTGTTATTTTTAAGAAGCCAACTTAGTAAGACAGTTCTCTACCTTCTCAAATCTCATGGACCAAAACTGCTAAGCGTGCTAACCTTAAGACCTACATTTAGGAGCATCTCAAGGCATGGTAAGTCTGCCCGTGATTTCTTACTCAGCACCTGCTGCCAGAACTAGCCCGGGCTTAGAGGCAGAGTTCTACTCTTCCTCATTATACACCCCAGGAGTCCATGCAGCAGCAAGAAGACTTAAACTTTCTGGAGTACATACAGGACCCGTGAACTGGTGGCCAGCAGATTCTTAGCATAAAGAAAAACACCTCGCTATCCAGTGGGACTTATGCAAAAGCAAACCAGGAGTCAGGATTTGCTCCCAATCATCCGATCTTCAATCTTCATGAGGAAGCAGGACTGGAAATATATATGTATATATATATATATATATATATATACATATATATGTATATATATATATATATATATATAGAGAGAGAGAGAGAGAGAAATTTATTAATTGTAGTGCAAGAACAAAACAGACCTGTGGTTCCCCCCCCCCCCCGCCCCCCCGCCAGAGTATCCTTCAGCGACCATTCGGTGTAGGTATATGGGAAGAAAAGAAAAGTAAAAGGACTGCAGATTGCCAAGTTCTGACCCTGTAAGTCAAGAGTATTTTAGGCAGACCCCACCCCCCGCCACATGAGAGTCTAATACTTGCTAACCTTGAACGTGAACTTTCCCACCTCAAACTCTGTCTGTTCCAAAGGAAGTAGGAGCTGAGGGCCACTTTCCTTACTTGGTGCATGGAAGCCAAGAGATTTGCAACCGTGGGTTTTCAGGTGGCTTTGCTTTGTGCTTGTAAGCTGAGAATCATGGGCACCCAAGGGCCATAGGGGAAAGAATGCCTGTGTGATTCCAATACTCTGCTGATGGAAGAACTCCTGTTTTTTCAACTTCAGCAAGTCCAGGAGTTGAAAACAAACACATTTTCATTGATTATTGTGTTTCGTAGATGCCCGAATACTTTCAAAGTTCAGCCCTTTACTATTTCATGAAGAAAGCCCCCCATCCCCCTTTCTTTTTTTTTCTTCAGTAAGATCATCTCGGTCAATACTGTTATTCTCCCCAAAGAGTTTCTATCGAGAGTTTGAGTAATGTTGTATGTTCACCTTGTTCTCGTCTTACTCATTCTTAAAGACAACTGTTAGAAAAAGCAGTCAATTGAGGCTTTACCAAGCCAGAAAGAACTGGGATTTTTTTTTAAAGATCTGTTTCCTTCACAGATCTATGCAGCCTTCCCTGTGGATCAATATTCGCTGACTTTTGGTATCAATAATATTTTTTCTGTTTGTTTTCTACCTAGGAATAGTATCGATCTGGTGCCATCCATAATTTGACAGGTACATGAGTGGATAATACAATTGATATAAATAGCATGCGCTTATGAAAATAGCAAACGCACAAGAGATGGACACTTACCAACTGTGGGGTTGTCCCTGAGGAATTTTACTTCTTCATTTGTAAAGCAGTTATCCTCAGCCTCACAGTATGACTTTAAGTATTAAGTAAGGACACTGGTACAAAAGCTCATGCCTATAATCCTGGCTATTCAAGAGAATGAGTTCCAGAGGATCACAGTTCAAAGCCAACCCAGGCAGAAAAGTCTGCAGGACTCTATCTCCCAAAGAACCATTGCAAGTCTAGAGATATGTGTGAGGCCTTGGGTTCAAACCCCTGTACTAGCTTGCATGATACCTGGTAAAGAGCACACTCAACAAATTAAACAATAATTTATGTTTTTTCCATTGAGAAATATCTCTGTTCTGATTGTCTGAATCCTAGCAGACACTTTACACAGCACTTTATCATCTGACTTAAAAGAAAGAAAAGTTTGACAGAACAGATTGCTTTGGAAATGTTCCTCTTTATTCGGGGAAACACACGCATTTATGACTAATGGATGAGAGAAAGGGTTGCAAGTCACCAGAAAAGAATTTAGGGCTCTGAATGGATGCTGTAGCTCAGTGGTGGAATGCTTGCTAAGTGTGCATCAGGCCTTGGGTTCAATCCCCAGAACTGGGAAAATAAAAAAAAAAAAAGTAAGATTCTGACATCAAATTTTAAATTGCTTGTTTGCTTGATTGGTTGCTTTTATCCTTTCCTCCTTCCTTCCTTCCTTCCTTCCTTCCTTCCTTCCTTCCTTCCTTCCATTCTTTCTTCCTTTCTTTCTTCCTTTTTTTCCCCTTTTGCCACTCCTAGGGCTTGAACTCAGGGCCTGGGCACTGTGTCTGAGCTTTTATGCTCACAGCTCATGCTCTACCACTTGATCCACAGCTGCACTTCTGAATTTCTCCGTTGGTTAATTTTGAGGTAAGGGTTTCATAGACTTTCCTGCCTGGACAGCCTTTGAATTGCAATCCTCAGACTTCATCCTCCTGCATAGCTAGGATGGCAGGCATAGTGCCCTGTTGCTTTCTTATTCTTTGCATGGACTCATTCATATGCATGGTGATATTGCTTATCACCAATGGGATTGTCATTTACCCTAAACAGAGAAAGAGGGAGGGGAAAAAGAGCCCTAATATCTAAATCTAGGAACTAAGCTAAGGTATCTGACTTTGGATGTATCTGGGAAAACTCTTACCTACCAAATAGGAAGATATATTCATTTAAAAATTTTTTTGAAAAGAACAATCCTGGCACACTCTTACAGCTAATAGGTGACAAATGCTATTCATCGATAAGGTTCACACATACTTAGGGGGATGGGCCTTTCTTTTAAGTTAGAGCAGCTATTTCAGGATTTACCAAACAAAAATATATTTGAGGAGAGAAACTATGGAAATAAGGACATTTTAATGGGATTAAGGAATCCTAGTTAGTCCCTGAGAGAAACTGAGAACTTAGGATAAGAGATGAGTGGCTAACTCTCCAGTGCTCTGCTGATCAAGACCGACGAGTAGCCACCCCCTTCCCACACAGCTGGGGATGAACGAAGCTCTGCCAATTATTATAATATGAAGAATCCAACATGGCCCACTTCAAGTCACCAAACCTACGACCTGACCTGCATCGTTCTGGGCTCTCCTAGCTCTGCTTCTCCTCCCGGGCATTCTGACAACTGTCCTTGGGAGCCACGTGCAAAGCAACGGACTGCCAGGAAGACCGGAGCGGGGACATAATTAGTGGCTCGTTTCTCCATCTCTACCAGCCCCATGCGTAGTGGATTTCGTCTCTCGTCTTACATATTTTTTTTTCTTCCTCTTAAATTATATCCATTAGGTTTTGGTTTTTTTCTATTTAATCCACTTAGATTCTTTGCTCACCAAAGTTAGAATGAATAATACATTAAACTATGAAACATGTGAGAGTTGCAGTTTTCCATGCTCTGCGTCTCCCACCTGGCTCTGTGGGACCATCTGGAAGCAGGCCTGGCCCGTCCCCTGGGGAACGAGATGCTGGGGGGCGGGGGAGGCTCAGACCCCACCACATCTCACTCAGAGAGCTGTGGGGCCTTCGCAGAATGGAATGATCTGGAAGACTGTGGCCATATGTCATTCATTTTTTTTTTTTAATTCCTCCCTTCTAGGAACAGCCCAGCCACCTTTCCTTGAGAGAGAAATTTAATTGGAAGAAACCTATTTGGAAAGAGAGGTAGGGCAGTGGTTTCACCCTAATTAGGCCCAAGCTGGTTTTAATCGCCTCCTTGGCCACAAGTTCCCTTGGGAGACTGGGACAGGAAACTGAGAAAGGAGCACTGAGTCTGGGCGCCTCCTCTGTGGGACTCCTCCACCGTGTCAAGTCTTTATGCCCAGATGGATGAGGCTTTTTTTTTTCCAATCTCTAAATCTTACTTCCTTCAATGTGACGTTGTTTCTAATTGGATGGAGCCCCAGGGCAGCAGCTGGATTGGTTATTTGTTCCATGGCCACCCTGGGTCACCACCAACAACAGGTGTTTCACAGTGGCCTGCTGGAGAAATCTCCCTTCCATTGGGGGAATGTGACTAGTTGAGGAATGTATGTTGGTGTTGGAGTGAGGCAGAGTGTGTGTGTGAGTGAGTGTGTGTGTGTGTGTGTGTGTGAGAGAGAGAGAGAGAGAGAGATCTCCTGAGTTTGGTTGTATATATGTGAGCATGCATGTGCAAGTGTGTCAGCTTATGCGTGGCTATGCGTGTAAGTGTGATTTGCATGGGTGGATGGGTAAATGTGTCAAGATCTACGTGATGACCCATGCTTAGCAGGTGCATATGTTTTGCTGTGGTCTCTAGCTTTACTGGGATTAGAAACTGGGAATAAAAATGAGACCCAGAATGCTCAGCTTGCTTGACCTTGCCTTGAATTTACAGAGGAGAGAGTTTGCAACTAACACACTCAATGTGGGTGGAAATGCTGCCTGCCTCCTCCACGTACCTTATAGTCCTGAAGTAGGTGAAGGGAGGAAGACAAATGCATTTCCTGGAAAAGAAGCTAACAGAGCAATCTTCCCCTAAACTTCCTGCCTGAACCTCCACAGTGGCACAGACCAGTGCACTAGCCTGCTGCCAGGACCCCACCCTGTTCTCCAACCACCCAAGCCTGTTCTGAAGGTCACAGATAGGATTCTGCAGCTGGAGTCCTCCTGCGAGAAGCAGGCACCAAGGATGTCAGGTTGGATGGTGGACAGACAAATCTGCTCTTCTGATAGGTCAGGGCTGATTAAGAAGACTAATCATTGGCTAACAGAAAGGCTGATGCCCCCAGTCATCAAGCTTTGTTCTTCTGATAGGTCAGGGCTGGTTAGGAAGACTAATGATTGGTTAACAGAAAGGCTGACGCCACCAATCTTCAAGCTTTGCTCTTCTGATAGGTCAGGGCTGGTTAGGAAGACTAATGATTGGTTAACAGAAAGGCTGATGCCACCAGTCTTCAAGCTTTGCTCTTCTGATAGGTCAGGGCTGATTAGGAAGACTAATGATTGGCTAACAGAAAGGTTGACACCATCAGTCTTCAAGCTTTGCTCTTCTGATAGGTCAGGGCTGATCAGGAAGATTGATGATTGGCTATCCTAAATCATGAAGGGTCTCTTTCTGCCCTCCACAAGATTATCTGAATGTTTCCTAAGACTAACATCCTACCTAGCGACCTTTCATGCCACCACCCTCCATCACTCCGGAAGTCTCAGCTGGGCCCCCATCTCCTTTATACCTCTTGCTCTGGGCCTTTGTCCTGTGCCAATACCCCACCAGCTGTGGTCCAGCTGCTGCATTCCACCGGGAAGGGCTTGCTGTTCCGTATCCTGCACCTGGTGTGTGAGCTCATTCCCCTAACACACTGCTTTAAGCCTTCTGGGTCTTTGTTTAAAAGGCAGCTCTAAAAATGTCAAGTATTATTAACTGTCCAAGGGAGAGGTAGTAAACCAAAGGCCTTGGGAAGACAGAAGATTGAATAACTAACTCCCCTCCCCCCTCCTTTTCCATCTGCCACTTTAAATTGGATTTCCAGACGAGAAACCAAAGCATCGCAGTGACCATCCCCTCCTATGGAAGTCGACACGCGTCTGGAAGCACTCACCATTGTAAAAGAAAAATCGCGATTATTGCTGTTTCTCACCATCACCGGAGCTTGCACATGGGAGACTGGAAGGTAAGCAAAAGTGGCCCATGCCCCCTGAACAGCTATCAGCATAATACAATTTAAAGGCATATGCACCGTATGCATAACGTCCTGGATGGCAAAGAAGCCGGTGCCTGGGTATCCCGTCTTTGCCACACCCTTTTCCTCTTGCCTTGCTGTTACTTCTGACATTGTAGGCTAAATGATCCCACTTACATGTATGTTTTACCAGGTCTTTTTCTTTTTCTTTCTTTTTTTCTTTTCTTTTTGTTTTTTTTGTCAGGTGTGGGGATTGAACTCTGAGCCTGGGCACTGTCCCTGAGTTCTTTCAGCTCAAGGTTACCATGCTACCACTTTGGGCCACAGCACCACTTCCAATTTTCTGGTGGTTCTTTGGAGATAAGAGTTTCATGGACTTTCCTGCCCAGGCTGGCTCTGAACCACGATTTTTAGATCTCAGTCTCCTGGGTAGTTAGGATTACAGGCATGAGCCAGGTATTTTACTTACTGTTTTTGTTTAAGCTTTTAGAAGAGATCAAATAAAAAGCAAAAAGAAATCCATCCAAGCATAAGAAATTCTGCTTGCTTTTATTTTTTTGTTTTTTGGTAGTACTGGAATTTGTACTTAGGAACTCATATTTGCAAGGCAGGCCCTTGACCCCTTGAGCCACACACCCAACCCTTCTTTGCTTTAGTTACTATTCACATAGGGTCTCCTGTTTTTAACCAGCTTCAGACCCCAATCCCCCAACCTATGACCTGCCCAGCTCAATTTGTAGGCATGAGGGAATGGCCTCAATAGCTATTACGCACACTGTCTTTGAATCTCGATTCTGCCATCTCCTCCCGAAAGTAGTTCAGACTACACACAAGTGTTACTACACCTGGTCTCATCTTTTCAATAGCTGAGAATTTTTTAAGTGCTATTAACTTTTCTACTTTGCTTTTAATAGTACAGATAGATAAAGTATATCAAAAGGTAGAATGTCTCAAAAAAATCTATTTATGCAATGGCTTCTTCTGAAAGAAGATTAACTTTGGGAAGACTTTTGTTGATGTACACATCTCCTAGGTTCCCTAGTCAATTCATTAATTTCTAGAATATCACACTTAGAAGAAATCATCTTTTTGTTGTTGCTTTACCTTTCTTAGAACGTATTCAAGCAGTGAAGCCCAAGGCTGTATTCACAAGTAAAAACTTATAACGTGAAAACGGACACATTAATACAGGATTACTGGTGTTATTTATCTGAGTATTTAAGCCAACTGGAGCTTGCCCTCTAACTCATCTCATCTCAACTTTGGGGGATCCCCTAGTTTTAAGGGAGCACTTACTAGTAAACTAGTGACTGACTTTGTACTCATTTCTAAACATAATTCAAAACTGACTTCAATACATGCCATGCTCAGAGGTGAGCCTGCATATGATTCTCAGTTAAAGATTTATACTTTATAGGCTTAAGATACCATAGTTGGTTTTGCTTTCCAATTACTGGTGTAACAACACAAGCATGGCTCAACAGAGCACTAATTTATACTACCTTGCAATTCTGGAGGTTGAAGTCCAAAAATGGGTTTCATGTGGCAAAAAAAACAAAAAAAAAACTTTCAACAGGTCCATGTTCTCTGTGAAGGCTCTAGGGGAAAATTCATCTCCTTTCTTCATCCAATTGTAAGAGGCCCACCCATAGTCCTTGGCTTGTGGCCTCGTTCTTCTCTTTACTGAGCCAGTGATGTTGAGCCAAGTACTTCCTCGATGCTGTTCTTTCCTCTGCTTTCCTCTTCTCCTATTAAGAACCCCCATGATTCCAAGAACATTGAGGCCACCAGGATAATCCAGGAATTTTAATTCCCTGTGCAACCTTAAATCCTCTCAGTCATGTCAGGGAACATACCCATAGGTTCCAGGCACTGAGAGGCAGATATTTTGAGTGCCAATATTCTGCCTATTGGCTTGTTATACATATGAATAGACATCCAAGGTTGTAAGGCAGTTGATCGATGGGAAGGAACAAAGAAGAGTCAATCTTTCAGTAAAACTCATCAAAAATTAGAGTCCAAGGCTAAAGTGGATTAACACGGAGAATAAATTCTGAGGGCTCTGTGAAGTCTCAGATGCCATTGTAGGATCTGCACAGTTGAACAGTTGTAACCTATTCAGTGCTATACACTCTTAAACCTACCTGAATTAAAAAATAATTACTAAGACAGATGGTTCCTGGAGACTCACATTTGAAACCTAGCCATTCAGGGAACTGAGAATGGAGGATCACAGTTTGAAGCCAGCAGGGCAGAAAAGTCCCCAAGACTCTTCTCTCCAATTCACCAGTAAAAAACCAGGAGTGGTGGTAAAGTTCAAATGGTAGAGAGCCAGCTTTGAGCAGAAAATCAGGGCAAGAATGCAAGGCCCTGAGTTTGAACACTATAGTACCACTACCAGCACCACCATAAAAACAAATGGAATGACATTGTCCAAAGAGAAATGTACTCTTTACCTGATTTAGGTAACTATAACCCTTTTGTATGTCTGGTGACAGTCTTGTCCACAACGTAGAAAAGGAAGCTGTTGACTGCTGCATTCTCCAGCAAGGGTTGATGCATGGTAGAGGTGGTATTTGAGAAGAAGAAAACAAGCAGGAACTACCCTGGAGGCTTGCCACCACAAGATAATACACAATAGTCTTAAGCAACTAAAGCTAAATTTTCTCATGAGGGCAAATGCAAATAAATCTAAAATCATGTGACCTCCTTCTCCTTGCCCCTCCATGGCTATGACCTTGCCCAGAGATCTGGAAGTCACCAATGTGAGAAAAATTCAAATCATAGGTTTCATGTATTTCTTCTCAGAAAATTGGACTTTTCTGTTCTGAGCAATTCCCACGAATATCTCCACCCTTTAACCAGAGTTTTTCCACATATAACAAACTCTATTTTTATGAGCCTGACTGGTAGCAGGGTTCAGGGTGAACAGGAATCATGGATTTTCCTAAATATGTTTACATTCTTGCAATGAATTTTAAAGCAGCATAGGCAGTCAGAATGGGGTTGATCAGATGCATCATACTTATAAACTGACACATTGATTTGAAACCCCTTTGTACACTACCTCAAGATAGAAGAAGAAAGCTGGGTGCTGGCAGCTCACACCTGTGGCCCTAGCTACTCAGGAGGCTGATATCTGAGGGTCTTAATTCAAAGCCAGCCCAGGCAGGAAAGTCTGTGAGACTCTTATCTCCAATGAACCACCAGAAAACTGAAAGTGGTACTGTGGTAGAGCCTTGAGCAAAAGAGCTACAGCACCCAGGCTCTGAGTTCAAGCCTGTGACTGACAAGTAGGAAGAGAAAAAGAAGAAGAAGAAGAAGAAGAAGAAGAAGAAGAAGAAGAAGAAGAAGAAGAAGAGAAGAAGAAGAAGAAGAAGAAGAAGAAGAAGAAGAAGAAGAAGAAGAAGAAGAAGAAGAAGAAGAAGAAGAAGAAGAAGAAGAAGAAGAAGAAGAGGAGGAGGAGGAAGAGGAGGAGGAGGAGGGGGAGGGGAGGGGAGGGGGAGGGGGAGGAGGGGGAGAAGAAGAAGAAAAAGAAGAAGAAAGCAGCCATGGACATTAGAGCTCATGCTGTCAATTTTTCTCTAAAATTTATTCTCCTGATCTTGCTGTTAAAACAGAAGTTTCTCCCCCCACCCTTGCCAAAAAATAAAAATAAAAACTCACAGGGCATGTCTGTCTGTACATTTGGCTTTCTGGAGTTAATTCTACCTTTCCAGCCTCCCTTGCAGCTAGGTAGGTGACCAAGTTATCACCAATAAAAAAAGAAGTGATGGGTATAATTTTCATATCATTCCGTTCAAAGGTATATTTTTCACTTGATCTCATTCTTCCTTGGTTTTGGTGAATAAAGGGAATAAAGCTAAGTAGCCACACTGGGTTCTGACAGGAAAGCCACAGGTTGATAATAAAAAGCCCACATTCAACTCTTGATAAGTCTCAGCTCTGGTCTCTTTCACAGAAATGAGAGGGGGAAATGAGCCTCTATTTTGTTTAATTCACTGAATTCTGATGTCCCTTTGGTGCTTTTACTCAGAATGGTACTTCAAGTAAAATAGCAAGTGAAAGAATCATTGCTTTTCAAGTAGATGTGTGTGTGTGTGTGTGTGTGTGTGTGTGTGTGTGTGCGTGTGTGTGCTTCCTTTTCTTTTTCTTCTTTCTCCAACACTAAATAAGCCATTGTCTGGACACTTGTGAGAAAATGATCTGAAACTCAGAAAGGAATGAACTATGAATTATCCCCATGTTTCTGTGTTCTAGCCACACCTTAATGGTCTTTATTCACATAGAGTAATCTTCCTTTCTCGACAGTTTGAATGTGAAGAAAAGATGAGTGATTCTTGAACCCTTGTTGTGTCTTCTTTGCAGTACGTGAATAGACACTTTGCCCCTAAAGGCAAAGCTTACTATTGAAGTTCACTATTCCCTCTCACTCACCTGCTTGTTCCGTTCAGATCATTTGTTCTGTGGTGGGAGGACAGCAGTGTCTGTGTGTGGAAAGGTGACCAGAGTGAGGTACGAACTGGATCTATAGTCTGAGGTTACAGGAAATGGCTGTGTGGGTTACAGGAAATGGCTGTGTCTGTGGCCCCACCGGTACTCAGGGGGATGCAAAACGAAGCGTTAAATTCAAAATTTCTGACTCACTGTTCCCTTGAGAGAAGGATTTCAGAAAACACAGGTGTGCGGTCTACTGAGCTGATGGGTTTCCTTCACAGTTTGTTTCTGTAGAAATAAACCTTGACATTCTATCCCAGGGGCTACAAAGTTTTGCCTCCCAGAGAGACCCCTGTGGGAATGTATATTTTAGAAGCCTCAAACATAAATTTGTATTTAGCACGATTGGCCTTTCATGACATCATTCCTTCTCGATTTTCCTACACCTTCACTAGATGGTTCTTTTTGGATGGTTTTTTTTCTGATTCTCTCTCTGTCTCTCTCTCTGTCTGTCTCTGTCTCTCTCTGTCTCTGTCTGTGTCTCTGT